TGCAAACTATAAAACGATTCAAACCACACCAGTGAAATATAAATCTGTGACATATATGTGAGCAGAACTGATCTAAGTGTGATTCTGTTTGCACACTAACAGTCCTGCATGACAACCTGAGCAGCTGAAGTATTTTTATCTGACAGAGGAAACATGACGACCACAGAGCTGCTCGTTTCTGTTAACAGACTAACCATTAGTTTCTGTTAATGCCACAGCCTGAAAAACACATGCAAAGAACAGCATTCATTAACATCACCTACAAACTCACAACATACAACTTTGTCCTTTTCTCTCTCCTGTCTCACAACTTTCAGCTTTCTCAGGCTCTCTGCTCTCTGTTGGTCTCTTCATCTCTCCTGGCACAAAAACTCCAGAGAGCACAAGTTCTAGAAGGTCTACCAGGTCAACTTTTACCAGGTTAAAAGATATTTCAGACTTTAATGCTGAAATGAAAATCTTTTGTTTTTTTTAAATCCGTCCAGTTACAGCAGGAGAGCGATTATTATGAACAATCACTGAATGTCAACTGGGAAAAAGTTTTGAATGTTATTTTGTCAAAGACTGAAACAGTGCTGCTACTATAGCTACATATTATACTGCAACACTCAGAAACCTTTAATATAAAATGTGCACGAAGCCTAATCTTAAAAGTAGAGATAGTGTCTGTCTACCGAATCCAAACTAATAATTTGCAGAACCCCTTGTGGGAATACATGACTTTATATGATAGAAGTATATCAAACTCAACCAAATGAAAAGCCACAGTTAAAATTTTATCATTTTCCAGAAATCATTAAGACACAGTGACACAGCACGCTGTTAGGATGTAAGATTAAATATTTTCAGTAAACGTGACAGTGGAAACATCAATATGTTGCTGTTTTCATCTATAAACAAGATGAAAATGAAAGTAAACTGTGACAAAGGGGAAGTCCTAGAAGTCACATGTTCTGCTAAATTGAAAGAAAAAACAGATTTGGAAGACTTTAAAACTGTAGATAGGTTCACATTCTGGCATTGGGTGGCAGGCTTTGTCAAGCAAAGGTAGGTTCATTTTAATCCAAAGCAAAAATGAAATCGTTTCTGTAAACTTTGAATTAAATAGAATAAATATTTCAGTTATGGGTTCTTCGTCTTCAAAAACAGTTGCTCCATCTCTATGTAAGTTTATTCAAAAGCTATAATGATACGAGTTGTCATCCAAAAAAAAATGTACTATACATAAATATTATTTTCTCTTTAAACTGTTTCATGTCAGTTCTTGAAAACCCGTGGAGGCAAATTAACAATGGGTGAGTGAAGCTCACAGAAAAAAATACATTTGAATTATTTCCTCTGTTTAGTCAGTAAACTACCCAGTTGTTCCATGTCTATTCATTTTTTCCATGTAAGGTGTGAGATAATGTAATATTTCCTTTCCTAAGCAGAGAGAACTCAACTGATCAGCATTTTGTGGAGAACTACAAACCTGAGGTTGAAGAACAAAATCTTAGGATCCTTCTTCATGGTCCAGTTGGAGCTGGAAAATCTAGTTTCATCAATTCTGTAAACAGCGTCTTACAAAAGAGAGTATGTTGCGAGGCTTTGGTGGCTAACTCTTGTGACTGTTCCACCAAAAAGGTATGGACAGAGTACAACTATGCCAGTAACAGTTAATATGTGACTCACTAAATAACTTGTAGGCAGAGCAGTGATCTGGCTTTATCCATGAATGTGCAAGTTGGTGAAGGCTTTTATCTATCTTTTACTGTCATGTATGCCAAGTTAACATGTGGTGAGAACTGGAATCGGATAGTCTTATGTTCCACCAAATGAATGCACCATGTTCCTATCCTATCAGTAGCATCAATGAGCTAACCCTGTAATACTTGGTGCTAATGAGCACTAGCTATTACTAGATGCAATAGCTATCATTGTCTGATTTTGTTAGCCCCTCCTGCCTCACCAGCTCGTGTTACAAATGCCGCTTTCTAGTAGTAGTGGCACTTTAGTTTCTCTATCAGATTCACCCCTTGCTCACCACCTCTGGTTTCAAAAGGCCAAAATAATAACTTAAAAATTTTCACCTTGAAGTTTCGGTATGAAATTCCACTAACCCAGGGGTGATGCTGTGGAGGCAACAAATTATGAAAATAACAAGAGCTCAGTAGATTCTAAAATTCTTCTGAATTTATAATCATTATGGGACCTGTTTCTTAGAGTGTTTGAATGTTAAAATAAATAAATGTATTCTCCATATGTGATCCACAGTATACAACCTACAGGATCAAAAAGGGAAATGCCTTTTACCCTTTTGTCCTAAATGACATGATGGGGTTGAAATTCACAACCAGCAGAAGAAACAGAAGAATTCATGTGAAAGATGTCAAACAGGCGCTGAAGGGCCACATAAAAGATGGTTACGTGGTAGAGTTACTGCATTTTTAAAATTCTGACATTCAGTTAAAAGAATGAGATTTTTACATTATTATTATTATTTTTTTTTTGGTAATTCATCATTTTACATTATTTGTTTTATGTTTACACTTTATCTTTTAGTTCAACCCTGAAAATAAACTGTCAAAAGGCGATAGATACTACAACAGAACTCCAACTGAGAATGACAAAGTGCACGTTTTGGTTTGTGTTGTTGATGCCAACACTACATCTCTGATGAGTAATGCCACTGTGGAAGCAATACAGGACATCAGAGATGAAGCCAATGAGCTGGGTGAGCAAAAATCACTCCTTCTTCTTTTTACAATGGGAACTAACTGCCTTAAAAAATCCAATGTAAGCCATCAGTACTTGTTATTGTTATTGTTATTTCAGTGTAAACACCCATCAATAAAGAATAACACTTATTCACATTGTTAAGCTATAAGTCAGCCCTTAATTCCTTATTAATGAAGCATTACTCTTAGTATATAATTTATAAATACAGATAGAAATGTATTAATTAGTAAGCTCACACGTAAAATATATAATTCAAAGTCAAAATATGTGATTATATATTTTTTTAGTTAAATACCTCCTCAAAAAAGAGGATTATTTTTGTCTTATATAGCATTTATAAGTGAAAATTAAAGTAAATGAAGAATTGAACAAATAAGAGCTATCTTCACAAGAGCAAAATAGCACAAAGCACAAAGACATAAATAATATACAAACAGTATACAAACATAACCCACCTGAGATTTGCAGAATGTAGGTAGGATCAGAGTCTAAACCAGAGTTTGTAAAATGGGTTTAAGAGAGAGCTACACTGAGCAATTGGAGCCACAGCGCATCAGTTTATTTGCTAAAACACCCACAGATTCCCCCTGTATATCCTGTACATTATCTCAGCTGTCAATACTATTCCACCAACATCAGACTCGTATGTGCCACGCAGCAGCTCCAAGTACCTGGTCTTTGGATTCACAGTTATAATCACAGTTCACAAATCACAGTCACAGTTGTAACCACAGTCATTTGGAAGTTACCAAATTTTTCATGATTTTTCCAGATAGAAATTGGACCACCGTCTTTTATGTACAACTAAAAGTGTTAGGAAACACTTATCTCACATCACAATCCATTCACTCAATATTTGTATTTTATTTTGTCAGAGATTCCACAAGTGGCAATTTTCACCAAAATTGACGAGGCTTTTCCTGAGATAAAACATGATGTGAAAAATGTCTACAGAAGCGAATGTCTGCAGAAAAGGGTACATTATTTTAATAGAACTGTATACAGGAATGCATTATAATTAAACTGTCAAAATAATTCTCATATTTTTTATATTTCTTGTTTGTTTTTTAATTTAGATTGAGGAGTTCAGCAAATGTGTGGGCATCCCTATTAACTTTATTTTTCCAGTGAAGAACTACCACTCAGAAACAGAACTGAATCCTGACATGGATGCTATAATAATGAACGCCATGAGACACATCATTGACATTGGAAATGACTCCCTCAACAGAAAGTTAAGATCCCAGACCTAGACATCCACTGTACTGAAAGTGTGGTTTTCGTTAAAACCATCACAATAATTGTATGTGTTACATTGTGTGTGAGTGGGAAGCATGGTTCCATCAAAATTCTGAAATCAAGAAATTTAAGGTCTATATTTCCCTGAAAAAAGATGTGTTTTAAGACTAGTAGAAAAATATGAATCCTCTAAATTTGTTTTGTAAATGTTTATTATTAAAGTTTAGTTTCCTGTATTACCAGATGCTCTGTCAAAGGCCAAAGGGAGACTGAGCCTTTAAATACACACATGAGGCAATTAGGCAGATATGAAACCCCTGGGTGAACAAAAATTCATCTGACTATAATAAAGGAAACAAAACAGAAGGAAGAAAGGGAACAAAAATGCCAACAACAAAACCTGTAAATGTAATAAACTACATAAAAACGATAAATTTGTGAAGTAAATAACTGAGATCTCCATAACTACAATATTGGTCTTTGAGGTAAGTCTGGAAAACACACAAAGCTTCCAAAAAGCTTGAGCTTGTCAAATAAAGGACACCTGGATTGGCTGGAGGACTGTTTACTTAGCCTGATAGGCCGAAGGACACTGTCTCAGCTAAACTATGGACACGCACACACACACACACTTACACTGATAAGCACTCACTCATCCCCCCTCCCTTTCCAACGCCTTCGATGCTTGTGCCCTACCGGGGAAGATAGCAGTCAACTGGACCAGCACAGATGCTGCAGGACCGGATGCGCTGTCTACACCGGCTCTCTCTTACCCTTTACCCGCCCCTGTTGCTTGTCTTGTGTTTCTATGGTGTATTGATAGTAGAGATGGCACGATACCACTTTTTTATGTCCGATACCGATATCATAAATTTGGATATCTGCCGATACCGATATGAATCCGATATAGTGTGTTTTAATCAACAAAACTGTTTTTTTAAATATCTTGCTGCATTTTGTATAAGTTCATACTCAAGTTTAAAACAACAACTACACTAAAGCTATTCTGTTATACCTGTATGCAAAAAAAATATTTCATAGTTCAGCAATACTGATCAATCTAATAAACTTAAACCTACACCATCCTCCCTATTCTGGTATTTTAAAGAGTACTTAGCGTAAATATTAAGCAACCTAACTAATAGGGTTCCAACTCCCAGCAACAACAAAAATAAATAAATAAAAAATAGGGAACCACCCCTCACGCGCCACCTCATGATGCTTAATCGACGTAATCAACCTTAATTTGATGCAGTGTGAAAAAAAATGCACAGAAATCAATTATTTTTCAAGAAATATTAAATAGATTCAACATCTTTCTTCAACAAAATTGCAGACTGCACAGATGGTACCTTCCCAAAGGAAAATGTACTATAGCTTACTAGGGTATATATATATTAGACTTAATAGTTACTATATACAGTAATTGACTTCTATTCATTTTACATCAAATTAAAACTTTGGGTGTCAGATAATTATTTATTAAAAGCTAGACATTTTAAATGAGAATAAGAAAGAAAAGTATGTCTTTGTGCCCCCTTTTCCCAGTTAATGCCCTATCGGCCCCCCTGGCTAAACTTTGCTAGATCCGCCCCTGCACAGTTACCAGCCGTCAGCTACATAGAAAAAGATCCTGGTGTAGAAAGTAATATTAAATAAATTGTAACAACAGCTTATCAAGCTTAAACGTGCTGCTGTTGTTCAGCCGCTGGTTTGCTCTTTCTGGCGCAAAGTGGACCAAAAACAAACAAGAGAGACGGACTCGCGACAGAAAAGCCGATCAGCTGATCATTAGCAGTTTCACGATTGAAGTAGCAGCCGGAGAGCGAGAGGCAGTCGCTCGTTAAGCTTAACGTGGGAATGCTTTACAAACATTCAGAGATGGACTTACACACTTGCTTTACTTCTCTCGGGGATAACTTTGTCGGAGATGAAATGCCGGGTTGCTAGCGAAGCTCCAAATGCTATCCAGACCACCACAGGTCCCGCATGCCACAGCCGCTCTATCACGTGATGCATACTGCTCCGACGTGCTAACGTTCTGAGGTGAGTTACGGCGTGTCGCAAGTTTTGTGAGGTGCTTTCGTGATATTTAATGGATCGGATTACATTTTTTATTTTTCTCCGATATCCGATCCAGTAATTTAGGTCAGTATCGGACCGATACCGATACGTAATATCGGATCGGTCCATCTCTAATTGATAGTCATGTGCTTTTGTGCTGAGGTGTTTTTTCTGTTATCAAACTGTTCTCCCACTAGGAGCTCAGTCTGAGTGGAGTTTTTTTTCTCCTCCTCTTACCTCATGTTATGTATTTTCGTTGTTTTTTCCTATCAGCCTACCTTTCTGACATGTCTGCCCAATGTGATGTTTGTGTAAAGTTGGTCAGAAGGTTCCTTTGTAAGTGCGCATGCGCCATTAGCATGCTGCCTGCTGTAACCCTAATTTCCCTCGGGATGAATAAAGTATTCTGATTCTGATTCTGATAAATTTAATTAGTTAAATAAAGTTAAATGAAGAGAGATCATTAGAAAGAATGAACATGATTTGTTGATGTACAGAATTTTTATAGACGTATTTGGCAGACTCCCATGGCCCGTCTCGGCAGTGATAGAGATTAGAGCAGGACCTGCAAAGAAAAGGAGAGTGATCCTACTGTGGTAGAAGTCCTGACCTACAGGGAATGGGACATAAGTACATTAGCAATAATGCACACACAGGAAAGCTGGGAAAGGTCTGGTTAGCAAGGGCTAGATCAGCAGAATAGAGAATGATCCTGCTTACTGTTGTCACATAAGATGTGACAACAGCTGGAACGGAAATAGAGGAGAGTCAGTGATAGAGCTGAGAGTTAGCAAATAAGCCAGGAGAGAAGACGTTAATGCTTGAGGCTGCTGATGGCTGACAGAACAAAGAGAGAGAAGAGTGCTAGGTTCAGGGGCGTTGATGGGCAACACAGAGCAGAGGCCTGTGAAAAGGCAGAATGTTACAAGGGACAGGAAAGAGAAGACCCTGACTTTAAGCTCTGGCTGCTGTAGGCTGGAAGGAAGTGGAGAGACAGAATGAGGCTGAGAGTTGGCAGAGCAGGAATAAGGAGGAAGACTTTTAAACCACCACCAAATATATGCCAACTTGTCAGGAGTTAAATTAAAACGATTCTGTTTCAGTTCTGGTCATGTCAAATGACCAGTCGATAAACTCTCAGGTTAGTAATAAATGTATTACATGTATAATAAAAAGCGTCATGTAAACAAATGATGAACCACACGGCAGTGACATTGATGGTTTAACAGAGTGTATATCAGAGTATATGAAGTTCTGCACTGACAACTCTATTTCCACCAAACAGGTAAATGGACTTATATAGTGCTTTTCTACTCTACTTGAGCATTCAAAGCGCTTTATACAACTTTATACAACTAATTCATTCATCCAATCAGACCCAGCACTTTTTCTAATGTGTTAGTGCCTATTTAACATTCATACACATTTACACTCGGATGGATGCATCAGAGAGCAACATGGGGTTAGTATCTTAACCAAAGACTGATGCACTGTGGCTTCATATCATGAAGGTTATTTTCAGCACGTTTAATGAATGAACCCATGGTGCTTTTCATGAGTACTAAAATTGAAGAGACTTGCAGTTTCTATACACCTAAAATTACCCAGTAAACTTTGCCTTCTCATACTGTGGGGATCTCAGCAAGTGTACAGGAGTCACTCAACACTTAAATCTGTGCCCTGTTCCAACTCAAGATGCTGTAGGTCCGCAGAGTAACACTCTGGGTCCGCTGGCACAGTGTAGCTCTATTAACCTGTGCTCGATTTCTCTGTGGCTTTCTTGTTTGACCCAAAAACAAAATTGTAGAAGTGAAACTTAAAGTATTTGAGAGCTAAATTTTAAAAAGCATAAAATACATTATAGAAGCATACAAATACAAGCAAATACATTCATCTATAAAATATAAAATTCTGTTTCAATTTAGTGATGATCATTTCCAAACCAATACATTGGATTTCAAATTATGCAAATCCAAATTAATTTTTTAAAAACATTTATTCAAGTTGAGCAATTCAGACTCAATCTGAGCAATGCGAATTCAAATATAACTTATTTAAATTCATTTTCTGATCTGAAGTACTGACATCTGCTGGTGATTTGAGGCCTCCTGCGATAATCCATCACTATCGATAGGTAACATTATTTTACCTTGTTGTCACTTGGATCTGGAGTTTTATTGTAAACAAACACGGAAACTCAATTAAAACAGAATAGGAATAGAATTTAAACAAAGGAAAATAACAAAATACATCATAGTTTGCTCATTCAAACTGATCCAAAACAAACTAAATAGTATGTGATTCCTTTTCTGCAACAAACATTAAATATTGGTTAATATGTGATCTTTCAATATGACAAGTAAAAGTTTTTGTTGTACTGACCTTTCATTTGCACTTAACCTTCCTCTCGTGTTAGGGTCGGCACCGACCCATTTTAAATTTCAAATACATAAAAAATCACATACATTTGTTTATTGCAGTGGTTCTTAACCTTGTTGGAGGTACCGAACCCCACCAGTTTCATATGTGCATTCACTGAACCCCTCTTTAGTTAAAAATAAAATGTGATTTTTTTCAAATTCAAGACATAGATATGTTTTGTACTGGTGCACAAAATGAGCCGTGCATGTCACAGCGGAGGCTCTGCCGAACCCCTGAGACCAACTCACCGAACCGTTCGATCGAACCCAGGTTAAGAACCACTGGTTTATTATATCAAGGCTTTTTGACTTTGTTAGGAACCTCTATTTCTACCAAATAAAACAAAATATATATATATTTTCACTAAATTATAAAATGCCCTAGTTGAAATTATGACCTTTGTGTTGTTAGGGTCGGTTTCGACCCAGGTATAATATTATGAGTATAAAGCAATAATTAAAGCCAAAACTGAAATCATAAGTGCACTGTCAGCTAAAACACTTACAGCAAGCTCCTCTCCTAATCATATGAGCTTTAGGGGATTCTTATTTTGCATGTTTTTTGCAGCAACACACCAAATCCGGTCGTTGGTACTTCCTGGCTTGTGTAGCCACCAGGTAACAAAAGCTCAACACTGCGCCTAGCATCCCAGAGCACTTCTGTTGTGTTTTGTACGTGTTTTAGAGTTTTTACGTGTTTTGGAGTTTTTACGTGTTTTGGAGTTTTTACACCAGGGACATCAGAGGTTCTGTACAGCAGCGGTCCGTGAGTCGTTTGGTATCGGGCCACGAGAGTTGAGGCTCCGCTGTGAAATTTATGGTTTTCAGGGTTTTTATCGTTAACTCGATTTCCCTGGGTCTTTCCCTTGTTGTAGTTGTGTGTCT